GGCGCATCGCAAGGTAGACCAGCCAGAATTCCGTATTCAGTCCCGTTGCCAGTCCTCCCATAAATATTGTTCTTTGATTCGGGTAGTCCTCATCGTTGCCCTTCTCCTTCTACGGGGCAGTGGGAGGCGACGCCCGAAACCCTCCCTCCATTAAAGCCTAGTCGAATTTCAGTATTACGTGGTATACACTGCGTCACCTCCACTCTGCTCAACAAGCACAAACAACACATACGAAACGAAGAAATCAGAACAGAAAGGAGTGCTCCCACGGCTCCTCATCACCGGTCTCCGCAGTTGCCCCGCATCCTTCCTTCCCTCGCCCTCTGGGTTGCCATCTTCCCCAATCCGTCCAGCCGCCTCTCTATTCCGGCTGGGATGGGCCAGGGGAGTAGTCAGGGAGGGAGTTCCGAATCCGATGCCATGACCTTGTTCTCGCCTTTTTGGGTATCCTGGGGGGCCTTGGTCACCACGGCTGGATTCGCCTTCGAATCCTGGTCATGGCGCGTGAGATCTGGGGAGCAGCCGTATCAGTATCTAGCGGCCTTCCGCCAATCCCGCCACAGTGATTGGGTTGTGGGTCAGAGGCTTCTTGGGATGCATCTCGGGAGCCTAGTTGAAGCATGTTCGGTGTCTTTTTTTGGGGCGTCTGGGGGGCCTCTCGTGGCTTCTTCGGGACCTCTCAGTGCTTCTTGAGGGCCTGGTGGCGGTCTCGGATCCTCTTGGGTGGAGGGCTCGAAATGTCAGTCCAGGTTCTCCATCGTAGTCCCCCTCTTGGGACTGCCTTGGGGCTCTCTTGGGCCCTCTTGGGGTCCTCTTGGACCGTACTGGGGCCCTGCTGGGGGTCTCTTGGGCCGTCCTGGAGAATCGACGATGCTTGCTTCTTGGTGGCCCTCGTGGGAGCTGCCTGCCCCCAGGGGAGGGACCGCGGCGGAACTGCGAGAGCGCGCGTCGTGGTGGCGGGGGGGGGAGAAGCCCCGCGGCGCCCCGGCTCAGCAGTGCCTCCTCGGGGCCGGCGTGGTTCCACTGGCCAAGCCGGCCCATGATCGGCTCCTTCCTCCCAGGTCCGCACGCCATTTTGGCTCGAGTTGTTGCGTTTCGAGCCACCGATTGATACAGCGCTGGCAGTGCCCAGCACATGGAAGGGCGATGGCTCGCCACGGTGATTATTGATGCTTGGCGCTTCACGTATCGCCACCAGCCCATCCAGAAACGATCCTGGGACGAGGTGCCGTGGGAAGTGGAGGACAAGAAGTGGAACAATTCAGGAGGCCATTCATTCTCAAAAGGCGACTCAACCCAAGCAAAACTTCGAAACATCGCATCCACGTTGGTTAAATACCATGTTACGATACCTTACGTTTCCATGATGATAGTGGTATTGTCTTGACGTGCTCAGCTGGGGCGAGCCGGCCTATCGTAATTCAGACCAGATTGGCTTAGCAAGATTGTGTTTACTTTTTCCTAGCGCGAGTTAGCCTAAGCTGACCCTCAACGGGACAGAAAGCAAATGCCCGCTTAGGACCATTTCGGAGCCCTATGGAGGCCTCTTGGAACCGTCTTAGGATATGTTCGGACCCCTTGGGGAGACTTTCGGTGCTGCGCGTGGCCAGTATAAAAGGTCATCGCTAAGAAGACAGGGGCAGCTAGGTAGGGTCCCCTTTGAGGGGCCGCAGACCAATTCTTCTCGTCCTGGGGTGGTCGTGAGGCCTCCACAAGACGATAAGGCGAAAGTCATTGAAACACCTGATTCATTCAACAGCCAATGCTGCAACAACTTATGCTGGCTTTTCAAGTCTCCAGCAGTGAGCCAGATAGGTCCAGCATGGAACTCCGCAACCCGTGCATTGCCGTGGTGTCGTGTCGTCTCGCGGTGCTGTGCCGTGTTGTGCTTTTGGGTTTGGGTACGTTCCACCCGTGATGCCGTAGCTCATGGCGGTGCCGTGCCGTGCCGTGTTGCGGCGCCGTGCTGTGCTGCCGCGCCGTGCCGTGGGTGTCCGCCGTGCCGTGTTGTGCCGCGTGGTTGCGCCACGCGGCGCCGTGGGGCTCTAAATGTGGCCGAGCCACGATGCCGCAAGGCTCGAGCCGCTCGGCGCCGTGATCGTGCCGTGGTGCCGTGCCGTTCGTGAGGTGCCGCAGGGGTCGGATGCAGCGCTTCGCGACTCGGTGTCCATGCCGTGTCGCGCACGAGGTTCGTCAGGGGAGGAAAAGGTACCCATACCGCTACCCTTCATTCGTTTTCCCTTTTTGGGGGTCGTTAGCGGCCTGATTTTCGCCACGTGCAAGTCGTTAGCGGCCTGCTTCGGGTTCAGCGCCCCCCCCGTCCATACAAGTAAACTTGCTGGAGTCTAGAAAATGAAACAGGCTCACACGAAATGACCTACGCCCAGAGGGTTGGCGGGGTTAGCAGCACCGATGCTCCCGAGAACGCCAGAGGGCGATGGCTCGCCCCGAGGACTGCTGGCCAACAGTGCCGGCAACGCCTGGACCTCTGGAGGCCGATGGCTCGCCACGAGATTGGCAGCACTGCCGCAGGCATAGTGCCGTGTCTGCGGGTCAGCATGTCCTGGTTGGTTGGCATTATGTTGGGCGCTGTCGTTAAATCTAGCCTTACATCGGCCTGTCCCTCTACAGGAGGAATAGTCAAAAATAGTCAGAAAAAAGTCGGGGGACTATTTTTGGACTATGTTTGACAATTTGGGTGTATGTTTTGAGTTTTCGCCCAAAATCCGCACTATGTTTGACTATCTGGGTGTATGTTTTGAGTTGGGTTTTTAGCCTCGCCCCGAAGGCCCCACTGCGGCCAGCGCCCCGGCGAAGGCGGCCCTTGCACCAGCAGCCGCTCCAGCCGCTCCCCCGGCAAAGGCGGAGCGCTCTGCGTCAGCCAGTGCAGGCGTCGCCCGTTTGCCGCCTCCCGGCCGACCCAGCGGCGCACCGAGCAGCGGAAAGAGCGCCGGTGAGAAGCTCACCACCCACCAAACCACCCCAACCCAACCCGAAGGCTTCAATTTGCCGCAATAATTTGCCCTCCATTTCCAGTGTGGGGGGGTCGGGGAACATTGGAAAAAAACACATGGACACCGGGGAGGTTTTTGCAGCGTGGGTAGCCCTCAAGAGCCCATGCTCAGAGAGTCCAGGTGGCTGGCTGTGTCAGGCGTGGTGGTGGGGGGTGCAGGGAAGGTTTTTGCAGGGTTGGTGGCCCTCAAGAACATATGTCCATGGGGGTCCAGGAAGCTGGCGGTGTTAGGCGTGGAGGGGGGGGGCCAGGGAGGTTTTTGCAGGGTGGGTGGCCCTCAAAAACCTAGCGGTGTCAGGCGTGGTGGGGGGGGGCCCGAGAGGTTTTTGCAGGGTGGATGGCCATCAAGAACGTATGCCTAGGGGGGTCAGGGGGCTGGCGTTGTCAGGCGTGGTGGAGGGGGGGTGCCAGGGAGGTTTTGCAGGGCAAGTGGCCTTCCAGAACTTATGGCCAGAGCGTCCAGGAGGCTGGCGGTGTCTGACGTGGTGGGGGGGATGCCGTGGAGGTTTTTGCAGGGTGGGTGGCCCACAAGAACCTTTGCCCAGGGGGTCCAGGAGGCTGGCGGTGTCAGGGGTGGTGGGGAGGGTACCGGGGAGGTTTTTGAAGGGCTGGTGGCCCTCAAGAACTTATGCCCAGAGGGTCCTGGAGGCTGGCGGTGTCAGGCGTGATGGGGGGGGTGCCGGGGAGGTTTTTGCAGGGTTGGTGGCCCTCAAGAACCTATGCCCAGAGGGTCCAGGAGGCTGGCGGTGTCAGGCGTGATGGGGGGGGTGCTGGGGGGGGGCAACACAGAGATCCCAAGGGCTCAGGGTGGTGTGGGGGAATCGGGACAGGGTCAGATCCGGCCCAGGAATTGCAGGACCAGGTGGGGGGTCAGGGTCTGTGCAGGCGCAGGAATTGTCGGGTCGGGGGGTCCCAAGAACAGAGCTCCCAGAATGGTGGGGGGGGTCGGACCAGGTGGGAGGTCCGGGTCGGTGCTGGGGGAGGATTTGTCGGGTGGGGGGTCCAAAGAACGGAGCTCCAAGGGCGGTGCGGATGAGTGCCAGGCCAGGACGCGGGACGCGGTGGGGGGTTCAACCTTGGCACAGGGTCAGGTCCGGGCAGGATAGGCTCAGGATCGGCGGCTCGAACAAGCGCTTTTTCCCCACACGCCTCTGGGGTCGGCGGATTATCTTTATCAACACCTTGCACTATGCGCTTTGACTGAATGTCGTATTGCGTAAGGCCCGTATCCCGGACCGAAAATGCAATGTACTGCCTGTCAGAGCAGGATTTGCAAGTTCCATTGAAGAACACCCCGAACCCGATATGTATCATCCCTTCTCTTTGTATGTTGCTGCATGCTGTGATCTCGATGCTACCTACCGTCTACTGTATGCACTAGATCGTATCTCTTCTACCTGTGGTGTAATATTTTTTATACTCTGTCGAATTATTGTGCTCTCTCTCTCTCTCTCTCCTTCTCTGCCCTCTTTCTCTATCTTGCTACTTTCTCCATTTTTTATGTGTGTATATATATGTGATTTCTCTCTCTCTCTCTCTATCCCTCTTTGTTGCTCTCTCTCTCTCTCTCTCTCTGGTATATGTACATATGAAACGTATGCCCTATGTTTACCTACACTCTACGCTTCTCACTCTTTCTGATATCATGTCTGCATTCTTGAGGCCTGGGGAACCTGCGCAAAACCAGGAATCCAAGATCCAAGGCATCTGGAACCTGGAACCCAGGAACCTGGAGCCCAGCAACTAAGCCGCCCAGTAGGATTGGCAACATCGGTTCACCAATGCTTGAAATCCAGAACCTGGGAACCTGGCCGCGCAACAGAATCAGCAACGTTTCAGCAAGACCTGGAGCTATCAAGCCAGGAGCCTTGTCGCTTGCATGGCCCTAAGGGCGGATTTCCTCATCATTGATGAGATTTGCAATGTGAAGTACTGCAGCAACAAGGCAACACAGAGCAACTCAACGCAACGCAGCGATAATTGATTC